AGTAGTACTTTAGAGCTCAACTTGGGGAGGAAATTTATATTTAAGGCAGAAAATTATTTGGTTATGAAATAACGAAAGCATAATCAATTTTAATGGCAATTGAGAGAAGGTAAAGACAAAAAAGAGATTAATTGCTTTTTTTCTTTTGAATAATTTGTTTGAATTTGTATATTAAGTTCTTTGATATCATCCAAATTTGAATAACTTTGCGTGGTTATAAAGGAGAAACAAGAATGCAAAATACTGGTCTCAAACGGTAACTGAGCACATCTGCGAAATCTTTGCTTTCCTTCTTACCACACAACTAACTGAAACATGGACTGCAAAAAAAAACTGACCATTTTAAAAATAGTAAGTCTTGCATTGAATCAGTTCACATCCATGTGGAGTGCTGTGAATGGAAGGAAATCGGGTATGATTTGAAATGGCATTTGAACTACTCTTTAAATAATAATTAATTATTCTCTTAAATGAAACTTTTGTTTTAAGAGAACATTTTTTTTTCTCTCCCAAGAAATAAAAAGAGCCTGGGGAGAAAGAATATAGGAAGTTCAGGGTGGTCCATATAAAATAATGGATCACTATAATTCCAAATGGGACCCATTTTTCTTGAGCCCTGCAAAATTGTTGCTGATTTCCAAATTAGAATATTTCTTTCGTAATAGAAAACTAACCCTTGGTGGGGAGAATGCTGATTTTTTATTGATTTTGAATTTTAGGGAAGCATCATGAAAGAGAAAGAAAGAAAGAAATGAGAAAGAAAGAAGCAAGAAAGAAAAAAGAGAGAAAGAAAGAATGAATGAAAGGGCTGGGTGCGGTGGCTCAGGGCTGTAATCCCAGCACTTTGGGAGGCTGAGGCGGGTGGATCACAAAGTCAAGAGATCAAGACCATCCTGGCCAACATGGTGAAACGTTGTCTCTACTAAAAACAAAAACAAAAACAAGCAAACAAACAAAACCCCACAAAAATTAGCTGGGCATAGTGGCACATGCCTGTAATCCCAGTTACTCGGGAGGCT